GTCCTCCCATCAACTTATTTTACTGCACCAAGGTCTCCAGAGTGTTCAGCCAAGTCAGACTTACTCCTAAATTTAACCAAAACCTCATTGTTTCACTTAAAAAAAGACATCCTCTACCTTAAAGATAATGAATGGAATGTTATATAAACTTTATTTTATAGTTTTTGAAAAACATCTAAGAAGAATGATAAGCTATAAAAGCATTCAGACCTTTTATTAAATGATGTGAACTTTGGCGTGTGATCAGATACATGCATAAGTGTACCTGCAACAGCACCTCCTCTGCTTTGTTGTCGTAAAAACGTCCATGTTTCATGTAGGATTTCCTAGCTTTCTGTCATGCCCAAACCACGCCTAGTAAAATATTTAGGGTGGCTTTGTTTTCCAGTGTCGGTGCCTTATATTTATTTTTTTTGCAAATATATTCTCACATTTAAGTTTAGGTGGTCCAACCCTTATTTATTGAAGGCCGATATGTAGCCGTTACTACTGAGGCTGTGGAGTGAATGAGTTGGAGGATTTCTACTCCCAATGCCTCTGCGCTCTGTTGGGGTTCGGATGCAGTGCTGAATGTTGGAGACATTGGCTCTTCTCTCCTAATGTGCCGGTTCCTTCTCGTGGTCTCAGGGTATCGGTACCCTGCTGTGTGTTTTGGTTAGAAAGTTTGTTGCTGTGTTACAACAGGAAACACAGCAGCTGTGTTGCATGTAAAGGCATTTATTTTCTATGGTTATCTAATCTACATTCTGTGGAATTGATATCAAATATCCATATTACTCCTTATTGCTTAAGATATTTTCACATATTTTGCAACAGGAAAGAGATAGAACACGTGTCTTTAAAACCCACATATATCCATGTTCCAATATCCAATATCCAGTTTAAAACACTAGGAGGTATTGACCTGAATGTGAGGGTCAAGTCTCTATTGAGAACAGATATAGTGGTATGGCCTCTTTGAGGAACTTGACCCATATCCTCAGGCTTCTTGTCTGGCAATATTGATCTGTGGCAGAAGATAAAGAAGAACTAGCTAGCTAGAAACTATACAAAACGCCTAAGCACAGGTTTTGTGGTACTGTATGTAGCCTGCCTCGATGGAAAAAACGCAATCTTTGAAACAATCGCAGATCATTTTAACATACTTGACATGTTCTCTTATTTAATTTGAAATGACTTCCAGTTTAGCGCTACTTTTAATATATGTTGTTCCATTGGTCTGGTCAGCGTCAAAGCTTCTTTTAGGATTTTGTGTGAGGTCATGCTCAGCTGAAGGGCCTGTCGAGTCCTCTGTGGATTAGCGGTGGGAGGCAGTGGATAAGGACTGGGGAGGATCACACACAGATACAGTGCTATGGAGCTCACACACACTCCTACCTCCTTTTCCCCGTGTGAGGACTGATAAAGAGAGGCAGACTCAGTGTCCGGGTCTATTTAAAGGCCAGCTCTAGATAAACTCAACCCACTGGATTTGAAATAGCAAAAAATAACAGTTGTGTTTGGATTTAATAGGACCACTAAAAGAATGTACACCAGCTTGTGAGGAGTTATAGTCTCTGTCCGGCCATCAGCCCTCTCATATAACTACATCATACCTACAGTACACCTACTCCTTCTGCCTCTGTGCCCTCACACCACCACCTCCACCTACAACCACCCCTACACCACGCACATGCACATTCAAACGCTGAACCACACGTGGCAATAATTCACCCTTCTCCTATTGGTGCGCTGATATTCTCTTCTCGTCACGTTGGCTGTCTGCCTCAGTTTAAGTTGAAACTGTAAAAAAAAAATCTCTTGTTTCCTGTCTTCTTTATAAGTGGAAAAATAGATATAAAAGATATAAAAGAGTGTGTGTCACCTTTTGGAAGACACCTGCATATTTTTTGGTGGGCTTTGTTTCAATAAGCAGCATCACTTATGTTCGAATGGCAGGAAGAACTGAGATAATTAAAACACACCAGAGAAAACCGGTGGAAAAGTGTCGAGATGGACCCTTTACAGAGGGGGAGAAACGGAGAGAAAAGTAATGGGAAATCACTTTATTTTAGTTAACTGAAAAAAATATGTATATAAATTACCAAGCTGTTGAAGATCCCTAATTTCCAGAGTGGTTGTAAGGAATTCTCGCTCCTGTCCGCCACCCTCATTTTTAGGAAAGGATTCATTCAATATTGTAATAAAGTGTTTGTTGCTGGGTAAAAAAATCTAAAGCAGATCAAAGTTAAGATTACTGTTTAAAAGGACAAGACATTATTTGAGGTTAACAGGAGCGGCTCCGCGGAGGAAAACCAAGCAATTCATAATGGATCTAGTTCAAGTTTTTCACACATATACTGTAAATATTTGGAAATGTCCACCGTGCAGTAAATCTAAATATAGATCTTCTAGAATTCAGTTGGAGCCTTTGTGCAGGTGAACTGTTTTCTCTTTAAACAAGAGACACAAATAGAATCTAGAGGAGCTTTATGTGCGTGTATACGGTGTGTGAGTTTTTTTTGTTTGATGGAACAAAAACTCTTCTCCTGCAGAAAATGTAAAACACACTCTTTCATGACAGGCTACACATATGAAGGCATCGGGTGGTGGAAACACCTCCACTTGCAAAATTCTTTCAGACGTGCAGCTTTAACGTGAGCGCCTGTATTGGCGTTTGTGTGGAATGGTATGTGTGTGGGGATTGTACTGGTGTTACTAACAGAGCCCAGTCAGTGTCACCTCCCCGTAAACAGCCTCCTTTTTAGACCTAAAATGACACACACACACACACACACATGCACGGGAATGTGTAACAATCTCTTATTGATTCAGTCGGGTTGGTTGCTGGCTGGTGGAGCTATTGGCACGTCAGGGCACAGCCCTGGAAACATCGGCCAATGATCTCACTTCAGTATGAATAGACCCGAGAGATTAAAGACGTATGCACAACTGAGAACAGCCAACAGCTGCGACGGCACGGTTGATTTCAGAGCGGATGAAGAGGAGGCTGCATCGTGTACATGACTGATTCCTTTACTGGAAAGGCATAAGAAAAAAATTCAGGCAGGAATTAAGGCTGTTCATGTTGGCACATTAAACCGACTACTATTTCAAAAATATGGCAAGAAAAGTAAAAAAAAAACCTTCAGCCTTAATTATAATAATAATATATGCAACAACGGTATGCAATAAGCTGTAGTGTGTCCCGGCAATCAGAATGATGGAAACCAAAGAGACACTCAACGACAAAATGGAATTAAAGACTCTGAAAAATGAGCCCTAATGTTAACAGTTGAGTAACAAACTCAACCTTTTTACATTGTAGAGTATTTTCTGCAGGGCTTGATGGTCATTTTAGATATCCTCCTTTTTGGTTCAGCAGAACGGAGAGATTGTTATATCCCATGAAAGCATGCTGTAAAGGTACAAGAAGCCCCTCCCAATTAGGGCCTGTTGGGTTTTTGTTGAAGTCAGGTGTCGATCTGTTACTGGTGTTTCAGCTGACCTCGGCTTCTTTGCTTGTTTTTTATTCAGTGCATTGGTGATGCATTCCTCCTAAAGTGTCGTCAATGTCTTCAGCATTAATTTCATGCCACAAAAACTGTTGAAATTCCTACCAAAGACAGTTCTGCTTGAACCTGTTATGTAAAATATAAAGTTTCCAGGACCACGTGAAGCATGCAAGCTTTCATGTTTTCCAACAATCCAACAACAGTTGGTGGGAGGATTAAAACTTTTTTACAGGTTACGACTACAACATAGAAGTCATTTTAACAGTGGGATGCTTGTTTGAAACCCTGAAAGGCCCCTCGGGTGTGCAAATCCTCAGAGACAAGGTTTAAAAGGCTGTGAGTTAAATTAAACCCTGGTTCTAATTCATATCCCCTCTCACCCTGTGACCCCATCACATTTCCATGTTGGTGTTTCCCGTTATAGCTGCAGAGTAATGGAGTAATGTAGCACACTTGGATGAGGGTGAACCCATTGAAATATGTATTTGATACCCAGGTCTTCATTCATATTTTAGGCGCTTTATCCTTCAAAAAGAGGTTTCATGTCGGTGCATATCAGAGAAGACACATGCCAATGCAACATTACTGTTTATGTAGCATAAATGCGGTCACTGCTGCTCCATCTGCATGTTCTTTCTTTAACCGCAGGTTTGATGATAGTTGCTCCCAATATGATTGGGTTTCATGGCTTGATGTCCTTTTTTAAACATCATTAAGATCCTCACATCTCATTGTCAGGACACTGTTGGAAAACGACTAAAGAAAAAAGCAGGCCATGTGTATGAGCAGCTGTCTCTGTGGACTGATGTGTTTCCAGCTACTAGAAGGCTGTCGGTTCAAATTTACAGAGGTGAAGGACATGGACCTCCCTCTGGAAGTGTCTTGAAGGGCCGCTCTGAAAGGAATGCAGGGCTGCTGAGATTTGCAGGTCTTCAGTTACTGCGCGGCTTACTTAACCTTTGATTTACGGTAACTGGTATGTTTTCTAGCTTTTTGAAGATGCATTTCAACAGTTACATTTATTCGTCCTGTGTGTGTAACTCTTTGTGAGGAGATTCACTCTTTGGAACAATTAAAATTACTTTCATCAAGTGCTCAAAATAGTAAACATTAATAAATAACTGCTGTAAAAAATTGTTTTCCCAATAGACTAGGACTATTAGATTGATTCACACTGAAAAATAATTTCCTTCAAAAGCACAAAGAAAGAGGACAAAACTGTGATAATCTTTTGGGTTCTTTCATAGATGAAATAAACCTCACCTTGCTGGCTTCTATGCTAAGAGCGTAGGTTATAGTTCATCATGATAAGAGCTCATCTCAGCCTCTGTAAGATCAAGACATTTTAAATGCTAGTGCTATTATAACCACACTGTGTTAGCATACAATCACTTGAACCCATCATAGGAAAACAGCAGATATTTCTTTCAAGAAATATTAAAAGGAAATACATTGTGGAATCATGTGGAAACGCTTTCTCTTTCCTTTATTGTCCCCTTTCTCCAGGGCCTCCAGCGCTCCTAAACCTCCTCCCGTGGCACCGAAGGTACTGACACGACAGAATATTACAGCCATCTGCACGGCGTGTTTATTTGCAGATACAAAAAGGTTTAATTACCTTTACGTACTCCAGATGAAAACATTCTTGATTGGATAATAATAATGATATTTTTTGGATATATACTTTCAACAGTTTAAAAAGATGTTGATTCAGAAATGTAGTTATTTTGTGATTGATCAATTTTGGGGTTATTATGAAATGATAAATAAGCTATTTAGTTATCGACTGGTCCATTACAGCATGACCACATGAGAAGACAAAGAAGGTACTTCTTCTGGGGTACGCAGTGCTCTGATTTATTGACTTGCATCCCCCTTCTGAAACGATGCCACACACCCTTTTTTTGCTGCATGAAACCTTTATTTGTAGTTTTTTTTTCTCTAAAGTTGCTATATGTTTTATTTTTTATTGTAAATGATAGTTGGGTATACTGATGCCTCCCGATCCCCACACATATACTGGGTTTATTCTCACACAAAACCCCCGAGAGGCATCAGTATCGTGTGTTTTGTGTTGTGATTTGTTTGTGTTTGCATGCTCTCTTCTAACGCCGTCAGGACGACCGATCAGACATCATAAAACCAGTGGCGCTCACCCATCCCCCTTCGCCGGCCTACCCCCACCCTCACGCCTCTTGCCCTTCCAACGCCGGCCACAACAAAGCCCCCAGACCGTACGGGGGCCGCGCGTCAGACAGCGAACACCCTCCCTTCATCCCGTCCCCGTCCTCTGCCTTCACCCCCGCTTCTTGCAACAGCAGTCCTCTTCCTCCTCCCCCGCCTCCTGTCTGTTACCCATCATCTTCCTCCTCCTCCTCCTCCTCCTCCTCCTCCCCCCCTGTCCTCGTTGCGCCCCAGCCGTCAGTGTATAACACGCCCATCAGCCTGTACTCCACTGAGAACGCATGTGAGGTGGCCATGGGGCAGATGAGGGGCCTGCTGGAGAGTCAGGGCGGAGCCGTGCCTCTGCAGTTTAATGGGTGAGTGCCGTTCTGTCCAGCCAATCGAGTGAATGAATCGCTTCACTGCGCTGCGTCTCCCTCCAAGGTTTTCCTGGCTTGGTTCTGTTAAAGTTTTCAGATGGGAGATGAAATGTTCCTAAGCCTGTGAAAATGTCTATGGAGTTGTTGGGCGTCGCCCATGAGTATGTCAAAGTTTATGATCATCACTGAGAATTGTTTATTCCATGCAGGCTCATGATCAGGCTCGCCAGACTCTAACTGGGAATCTTGAAATCTCTTCAAAGTTGTTCCACGTCATGAAATCAGACTCACATGACAACAGAATGCGCACGTTGTGTTGAGATGCACAGGTTGAGCCGGGTCTAATTATGACGTTTCTCTCTTAGCTCCTCTCGTATTGTAGAAAAGTGACGGTCACGACTTGGCAATGTGCTTTCGGTTTGGATGCCATTTACCATTCAAATGTCACAAACAGAAATCTCCTTCGTTTGGGTATAGTGTAACGTTAGAGAGCTTCTATTAGTGCTGCACCAGTCTGGAAAGACTGAAATCTTAGCCAACTAATAACTTAAAACTACAGATGATAAAGTACTCACCAGCTAATACTTTCTACTTACTCACCGCCCCCCAACCCCCCAATCCCTCAACCCCACTCTGACTAACTGTGTATATTTTAGCCAGCATTGGTAACTGGAGCTGCGTGGCATTCTCTTTGCTCTTAGAGGAAATCATTTAGTCAATAAAGTTTCCAGCCTTGAATCGAGTAGATTTACACATTAACTCTTCACGGCTAATGCACTTTCATCCAATCACATTTTTATTTACTGGTTCATACATTGTTTTGGGGATTCAAAACAAAACCGGATGTTTTTTCTTTGTTGCTCTCATGACTCTAAATGATTGAATATTCTCCTGTCATGACTTTCTAGTTACACACACACACACACACACACACACACACAAGCTGCCTTTTAGTTGACCACATAGCTTTTCCCAAGATGTCATTTCTGGATCTGTCTTGAGTCTTTAATGACTTGCTTTCCGCACCTAACTATTTCTACCTCAATGTTCTTGAGACCTGCGTCGTGCATGCCTGTTTGTGTGCCTGTTTGTGTGCCTGTTTGTTTGCGTGCCTGTTTGCACTCTGCGCTGTAGCAGAGCTGTGTGTTTCGTTTCAGAGGGGATTTTTTTGAATGACAACAGACTTTGGATGTGTTTCACATGTGTCAATACTCTGTATTTCTCCCTTCCTTTCAACCCTGATTTTCTGCTTTGCAGACAGCGGCACCTCCTCGAGTCACAAAGTTAGTGTCTGAAGCATGCCTGGATATTAACGCTTGTCAGCCATCTTTTTTACTCTTCCACCTGTGTCGGCACCTGAGTGTTTACTCCATTGTGGCGTCTGCATGCATTTCTTTATGATGTTACCGCACAGTATGATTGGTTATTGAGTTTTTAATGTTTAAAGAACCGCAGCACACGTGTATTCAGCTTAGTCAAGTTGTGTGTGTGAAACATGCTGAGGCTACTGTATATTTCACTGCATGTAAATCACATAAAATGTGTCTAGACAGAGGTTCACACACACTTACACAAACACACACACACACACACAGACTGTCAGACACTTCCTGTATTACAGTAACTATGTGACCAGGCTCATATAGAGCAGTCAACACACTCACACCCACATAGCTGCTGCCGTGACAAGAATGTGTTGAGCGACACACATCTGTGTGCTGGTCTGTGTGTGTGTATATTAACAAGCTATTTATTGACAGCAAGGCCTGGAAAGTCTTCAGTGCCCCTCTGTGTGTGCGTGTGTGTGTATTTGTATTTAGAACTGATTTATTGACATCCAATTAGTAATTGGCCTGTTGCCAAGAGTGACGCACATTTACTGTTTCAATTCAATTCAATTATTCAATTTATAAAAACACAAAAACAACTTATTAATCAAATGAATACATATCATTAAATAATGTCAAATAGAACAAAATGTTCAATGTATTGTCAGTTTTTTAATTTAGTTTTTTAATTGAACATCTGAAGTATTCTATGGTAACAGTCCATAAAGTCCAAATTCTAGAAACCCAGGTGATCCAGCAGTACCACCATGTGGTAGAAAAGAGGACTGTGATGTTCTTGCATGCATTGGTCATTTGGGCCCATACTATGTTCGCAATTTATTTTCTTGTGTTTCTATAGTTATAGTATATTTGTATGTCTATTCCTTGCACTTTTTCCATTTTGACTCCTTTTTAAAAATAATTTAGTTGTTCATTCATGAATCTCTGCCTCTTTCTCTACTTTAATTCCCCTCCAGTGGACCTCACAGTATTTTGAAGTAAGTTCTCAGAGAGTGTCTAACTGAATTTTGCCGTTTTATTTCTCCTGCCTTTCCGCAGTCTATTTATATGGTTTCTGCCCTGCTTTTCTCAATGTTTTTTTTCAGAAAACCCCAGCCACCAAGGTATCAGATTGGTTCTGACCTAGAAACCAAATGCATTTAACAAAGTGCTCTGTGACTTTGACCCCTTTTATTGTCTAATGTGCGCAAATTGTAGGGATTATTTTTACAGTGCGCCACCTCATGTAACCTGCAATCTAAAAAGTTATTCCATTCCTCTAACTGTGTGATAAATATCCCATATACATGTAATGTATATCAATTTAGATCTTTGGTTGAAGTAATAAGACTAAACATGGTTTTGTCTCATTACATGCTCTGATGGACAGATCTTCTTACTTGCAGTGTAACTAAATGTAAAATATATTTTCTGATGTCATGCACCATGTTCTGTTATGTCCTTCCAGAGTTCCCAGGAAACACATTGTGGACACAGACATCAATTTTTACCATGTGCCCACTCATGCTGATGCCAGCAGGAAGCGCATAACGGAGGACACAGAGGACTGGCGTCCACGCGGCGGGACAACCCAGTCCAGATCTTTCCGGATTCTGGCTCAGATCACCGGTACCGAGCGCGGTATGTCACTCACTGAAGTGCACGGGCAAGCATCTGCATAGCCGTCATTCAGTACTTTGTTAGTGCGCTTGATTCAACACAACTGAGCACAAGACAACTTTAAACACCACAATACTTACTACTTACGGTTTAACTTCTTTTCTAAATCAAAAGAGTATTATTTGCTTTTTATGGACTTGCTATTCTTTCCCTTTCAGCTCAAGATGAGGAAGCTGATGCAGCCAAGAAGACAAAGTAAGTGCAATGAAACTACTTAATGGGGTTCTAATGGCCCCAAACCCTTGTTTTTATTGTTATTTGTATCAATGAGTGCATTGTGTGGAGTAACAATGCATTTGCTATGGTTATTTGTTTTAACCCACTTAGTCGGGCGCCTCTATCATTTAAAGGGCAGGTTTACGTACACAGAGCCACGATAGGTCCGACTGTAGAGCTCTGTGCTGATGCTGCGTGGCCTCGTCCGCCTACTCATCAAAGAAGGGATCACGTTTGAGCCATTCACTCAACAGACAGATCTCTGTGCATTGTACAGCACAACGGACGCAACACACTTTGAATATTATCCCCCCTCTTAGATTCTTGAAGGCAGATTTTAAATGTGGCATTTTGGTTCACCTGCTTTTACCAACCCAAGTGTAACTTCGTCTTTGTTTGTGTGCGACTGCTGGTTGGTTGTGCATTCACTGGTGGATGTGACAGCCTTGCAGTGCTGCATGTCATAACCTGCGATTGTGTTGTTGATAATCACGGCTGGACTGTTGGTCTTGTTGTCAGTTTGGTGTAAGTGGTCCACTGTGTGTCCATTGCTGTGGTTTGTGGCGATACACGTGATTGTCCAGTGTTTGTGATCACTTTTGTTAACACGCTGAACACCCTGCTGTCCGTGGGCGTTGTTGTTTCAGAATTTAGTTAATTAATCATTTCAGTCCATTCTGGCCATGATCTATGGACATCACTTTCATGAACATAAATTTATCATATTTTGTAATCACGATATCCTCACAGTTGCGCATGAAACAGATCATCCGTGGATTCTCTAAAGCGGCTGTTACTTATGTTCAGCTTGTGAACTCTGATTAAACTGTCAAAGTAAGAAGTGCTGATCAAATGCCAGATTCACCTTTGCCGTTTTCTTCTCTCAAATGTTTTCAGAAACACATTTTAACAGTTTTGCTGTCAACATGGCGGATGGGTTGTAAGCTCTCTCATCTAACAGCTAAACAGTGAACGCTGCTCATTTCCACCCCATCGAAAACATCTCTGTCTATCAGCCTCTCCTTTGTGCCCCCGCTACCTTATGGCATGGCTTAAAGTGCATCTCCTCTCAGACCTCAGGGCATCGACTCCACTGTTTTTCTCCCTTTTTCTCTCTCTCTCTTCTGTGGATGGCAGAGTGAACAAGACCGCCACTCGGATGGTGATTGGTCCCAAGTACAACGAGCTGAGAGACTGGCACCACGGAGTGTCTGCTCGCACCCTCAATGTCCAGTAGACCGCTAGAATGTGTGTTGGGGGGGGTGGGGGGGGGGGTTGTGTGTGTGTGTGTGTGTGTGTGGGCGCTTGTCCTTCGCTGTTTCTTCACGTCTTCACTGCGCAGGCCTCATTCAGACCTTTAATAAAGTGTTGCTTACGTGGTCGGCCTCTCCAGCCATAAAGGTACACTGTTGCGTAAATACTGACTTTTATTAGTGGGCTGACCTCATTTTACATGAATTTGGGTTTTAGTCACGACTTTTAAAATGCTCCTTTCTGTGTACAAGGTGGTGATTTCATGAAACTAGAGGTATCTGCATAATAGGATAGAAAGGATAATGTATTGAGCTGAAGATGTGTCACCGGCTGAGTATTCATGAGTGTTTAATGGGATCTATTCAAATTAAAATATTGAGCTTTCAATCTGCATCTCTGCCTGTTTCACGCTTTAGACTACAGAGTGTAGGCTTTTCCCTTGAGGTATGCAGTACATTGTACTTACACAGACTATACTGTATAAAATACAGCTGGCTGTGATGGAGACAGCAAACGGGACCGGCTGCCAGGGTTGTGAGAACAGACAGAAAACACTTCAATGGATCTGTCAGTCTTTGTTCATTCGTAAACATGACGATGCTTTGAAATCTCAGCAACTCAAATGTGTAAATAGACAAACCATGCAGCCTTTTCTGTATTCCCACTCATCTAATTAGAGGCAAAACTAAACAGTCAGTAATCCATCACTGTGGTCTTTTATACCACTAGTGTGATGTTGTAAAAGCGGAAGATGTGCAGAAGTTTATTTCAGATACCATTGAATATGGCTCTATTTGACAATGCATCAGACAGTTATGAATGTCCCTTCAAAAATGGACAACGAAATCAAGAAAGCAACCAAACACATGCAAAACACCCACCAATACATACACACTGGGTTAGTTACAGTTGTAAACAAAGAGTCATGGAAGACAGCTGTTGCGATTACTAGGATTCATTTACAAAAAAAGCTGCTGGGATGTGGAAGGACCGCCCAGCTGTTGAAGGACATTGTTGTGCTATAAGGTACGAGCAGGTCAGGAAGGCTCTTTTCAGTGAGCAGGTTGTTAAGCTTTGATGGTGTGCAAAGTGACTGTACCAAGTCTAGTAATGCAAACAATGCACAGGTATTTTTTAAGGACCCTGCTTTGTAAAATATGTCTCCAGTGCCTTTGCATTCATGATAACCCTATGTTTACTTTCTGATGATTTAATAATAGTTACTTCTTTGGACATTAGAATGGTGATGTATTTTGAAAACAGCGTCTGGTGGCTGAAATGTATCATCTGTGTTTTAAGTTTAAAAGAATATTATTATACGATACTGTAGCTAATAAAACTATATTGTGTGTTCCTTGTCTTCTTTCCTTTCTGGCTCTGGTGTCCCTTTTCTTCCGTTCTCCTCTTCTTCCTTAGTTCCTTCATACTTTACTCTTCAAGCTGTTACACAGAATCCAAGACAAACCGTGGGGAGGTCATGCATGAATGGTATAAATGTTAAATTGCCCCAAAACACAGCAGTCACTTTTAAATGTAACATCAGTCACGAAAAGGCTTTTTCAATGCAATCACAGGCACTAACTAACCATGTGGTGTTCACACATGTGGCCAATTTGATGTGTCGTAAACTGAGGTTGATTGACTATGAGTTTGCAAGCATAAGATAATTCACTTATGGTTTTAACACCCCCACTGTAACAAAATCCTTCTTCAATCGTAATGATATATTTTAAAAAGGATCGTTCAAATAAGTGCTATCATGGTCAGTTCTCTGTTATCTGCGAGTGACAGATCTCCAGTGCATCAATCCTCTGACCGGATGGAGGTATCACTCGCATCCCTCAGTGGACGGAATGCTGCCGGAGCCACACCTATCTCAGATCGGGGGGGGGGATCAGGTGTCTGGGTCATCGGCGCGTCAGCAATGGCCAGAGTCTTTTGTCTAATGTGAAGCATCCCTTTGCTCAAATGTTGGTACCCTTAACGCATACTAGTTCAACCCCAAGTCAAGTCATGTCCATTCGAAAGGCTCTTAATGCCATGTTAATGCCAGCACACATCCACAATCCCGTTTGTACCCACACCGGAGCATCCTGTTTACTGGTTTCTAGTGTATTACCCCCTCAAGGACTTAACTTGTCACATTGTAGCGCCTCGTCATTAGTGAGGCTTCTACTGATCTACTTGGGCCAGCTGTTTCAGACGGTGCAGAACCAGAGCCAGAAGGCTTTTAACAGCCCACAGATGAAAGGTGGATTGAGGTTGGGATGTTTTGTTGAAACTGATGGTTACACTGAAATAGAATTTTACTGCAATCATATCCTTTACATGTGCTTCCTTAGTTTAGAAATTCACCGAACCCGCCACTAGGGGGCAGCACAGACTGGCGGTCGTTTTACTTACGATGGTGATGAACATACATGACACATGCCAAGCTGCCATGTCTCTGAAGGCCAAGCAAACCCAGTTTATACATTTTTGCTGCCTTTAAATACTTCAACTTGTCAATGACAGGTCATAAAGTCTGTGCAAGCCGTGTGTCCGTAAGTCTGTCCCCTCAGTCCTGCAGCTCAAGTCAATACTCGTCTCTCTCGTATATCAACAAGTCATCATATTCTACCAAACCTGTTAGGTACAGTGATACTAAATAGTGTAAGGTTTTTCCATTTCATAGGCAATTTCATGCCTAAAGCAGCCACAGTTTTAAGTTTAAAATAATCAAGAACAATCATTATCAATCAGCATTATTAAAATGTTTATTAATTGATTGATTGATCAGTCTTTTAAATACAGTTTCGTCCATGTCTGAGTGCAGGAAAGAGTGACAATAATTTAACAATACACTTCTCAAATAATACAATATAATATGTGGAGATTCACGCACTCATTGCAATTCACCAATGTAATGTCACAATTATAGGACTCATAAGAATTTCAACAAGAAAACTGTGTTGTATGTTATATTTGTTTAAAAAATTGACAAATTGAATTATAATTGTTCATTGAACGAGCCACACATTGCAGTGAAAAGGTTGTGGTCTCTAAAACATGCCAGAAATACAAGACAGACTCCATATGTCTCTGTGGACACAACTCATGACTTTCCGTGGTCACTGTGACACAAGTTGGCAGCAGCTCACAGAGATCAGTCAGTGTCTAGTACACACAACTGTACACATTCAAACCGTAAAGTATGAAATGTGAGTAAGTTTGACTGTGAGTGAGAGTTTGAGTGGGTGGATGTCTTTGTGATAGTGTGTATTTGTGTGGATGCACATGGATGAAAAAGTGTGCGAGGGTTGAATGCGATCCAAAGCATATCAGCGTGCTGAATTATAGACCATCTGTTGTGTGGTTTAGAGAGCTTCTGGACGGCAGTCAGCTATGTTAATGGGCCATTTGTTCAATACTCAAACCCGACCAACACATTCACGAGGTGCATTTAACAAGTTCTAGTTGGAGCTAAAGTATCCAAGGGGTTAGATCATGACATACGAAAACAGTTAGAGGACTGAAATATGCTCTTTCTCCTCATTATCACTTCATATCGGCAAACAATAAGTCTTGTTTATAGTCGGTAATGCTGAAAAGGTTTTCTGCAATGACCACTACTGTATTGTGATTGTATGAATTCCACCCCCATGACTGGCTAATCCCCCCCCTGCAAACACCATAGGCCTACAAGTTGCCTTAAAACGCACTTCATTCTAACTGAAAAACAAGCAGCGGTGAATGCAGGCAGTCAGTTCAGCTGTGGTATAAAACACGTTGTTCAACCTCGACAAAGTCAAACCAAACCCGCCAGGCCGTGTGGTTGGTGCGGTCGTGTTAGTATTGGTAGTTCCATCTGTGCTCAGCTAGAACACGCTGTCCAAGACGGAATGCGCGATAGCCGTGGGTAGAACACGCACACGGATGCAAGCACACACATGGTTGATTGTATGATTCTCCTGGCAAAAGTGTCAGGGTTGTGATACATAATATTAAATATGTATGTTGCATTGTGTTAATGTAACACAAGAACTCTGAACCAGAACAAGAGAGACAGATAAATAAATGTATTCCTCTCTCTTTCCTCCTTCCTCCCATCCCTCTTTAATTAACTCTTCAGTTAACAAGGTTCATATGTGGCCCAGTGCCTCCAGATGGTCAGTCCTGTAACCGGCCATTATTGAATCAGAGCAACGGGGCCTACGTGAGTCAACCAATCACAGTCTTGCAGAATACAATTAACTTCACACATAATTGGCCTGATTGGTGGAGAATATTAACGAGCTCTGCTGTAATTGGCTCTAATGAATGAAGAACTGGGGAGCACCTTATTTCCTGCTCGACTTGTCACCAGTTGTTAGCCAATTACCAAAGCTGATGAAAATGAATGTCGTTAGCTTGTTCGCCAAAATAATTTGAATGGATGTCCCTATTGCCACTAATCTGTCAGAGCGTGATAGCTCAATAGCATAATAAAGACAAATTTTTCCTGTTCTTTACAGGATTGTGCTACTTTTCTAGCATTTACCGTCTAAAGGGGGGGGGGGGGCTGTGAGGGGAATAAGAGCAAAAAAAAGTGCAATAAGTAAAACAACGACAAGTCGGTGTGGAAGTGCTGTTGATCTTGCAAAAATTATGACAATGGTTCGAATGTAAATGGCGTCTTGAGGAGATGGTAATCAAATGCATGATTTAATTATCAGTAGTTTCATTTAATTTGTGCACTGCTCGTATTTCTTTCAACTTAGAGAACACCTGAATTGCACAAAAGGATTTACACACATTTTGTTGTATTCTGTTGTTGTTGGTACTTTTTTTACCCTCTTTGGTAAGTAACAGTCGTGTCTCTTTACCTTCAACTGCCTGGCTCTGGTTTTGTCTCAGCTGTTATTTGATTTCAATGTCAATACATTAATGGACATGCAACAAAAAAAAGAAAATCCTTACTAGATTGCACAAGCTCGTTGAATAAATTGGATTGTGAAAATGGAGCTAGGGCTGTCTGCCTACTGTCTATACTCGCTTGTTTTGACCATAGATGTACAAAGTTAGTATTGGCTCCCCCTGTCAGACACACAATGAATGCAGATAATGAGAATAAAGAGCAATGCACTGCAGGGTGACAGTCTGTTTCCTACAGAGAGTACCTCAATCAGAACTGTATCGGCCCAAGGCCGATTAGCTGGAATCAATGCTAACACAACAGTGCGTAGGGAGCATTTATCACAATCATTGTCACTGCACCGCAGCTCGTGTTCCATTCATTCAATGCCTTTTCTAACCACGTGTCCCTTCAGTTAACACTCATATTGTGTTAAGGGGGGGTTGACATTTTAGGCAGCTATCTAAAAACATTTATTTCCGTCACTTTGTGTGTATGTTGCTTTCCATATTTCTTTGATATTAGTTATTTTCACCAAATAGTCTCTTGGCATCAGTCTGCCACAGAAGAGGCACTCAATGATGTCTATTTCTTTAGGTAATTTAACGTCTCCTCTCCTTTCATTGTGTTGACTACAAATCCCACAACTGCTGTTCCACAGTAATTGTTCACAAAGCTTGAATTGATGGTTTTAGAGTTGGTCTCGGGTGGAAAGTAAACTCTCTCTAGGGACCATTTTATGTTATAGATCATGGCAGAGGCAAGGAGGTCAGCTCAAGCAAAGAGCGTCTACGGAGGTGTTGTTAGTCATTTTCTCTCTGCCTGTTAATTCACCTCATGGTTTCCATCATCCTCCCTCATTTCGTCTCGCTCACTGATTCTCACTCACACGAAACAAACGGGTAAAAACTAAACGTAACTATGACTTCAGTTGTCATAACACTTGCCTTCCGTGAGTTCCCGAACAGCCGAGCGCAAAGGGGAAGACACCAGTGATCCAACTGTTGCCGTTGGTTACAATGATGCATTGTGGGTGTAATATGTCTGGGGAGAGATTACTGGCCCACCCAAGCCCCTCCACTGGCACATATGAAACAACAGTAACACACCTACAAAGACACAAGGTTACTCCCCATTTGTCTATTTTGTGTTGAGAACTCATCCTATTCTCTCACTTAAATGTAGCGTTCCGACATCGTTTGACAACATCTCTGCCAAATCGGTAACGCACAGTCTGTCAAAATGACTTTGACCCAAATGTGAAATTTAGTTTTATTTCTTTGCACGCACGAAAGTGCCTTGGGGAGTCATTCGGCTCGTCTCTTCATAACATCGGCGAATGGTCCAAAGTCGTACTTTCAGGGCAGACATTTGAAATAAAAAGGGAGACTGCAACAATACATGCGCATGTGGGAGTTGAAAACATCTCAAATGAATCCACTGAATATTATCAACTTTATACTGCACTATGTGAACTGTGTCCTCCCCCCATCATTAGTGCTGGCAGTCTGGCATCTGTCTACAGCACATCTGGAATGGGTGCTTTATTTCGCTCCACAGTGTTCCATTACTCTCTGTTGAGTCATTTACATTGATATACTGGCATCATTTTTGAAGGGGGTGGCTGTATCGTCCATAGAGTGCAAACCTACTCGTCCCCTATCCATCATTAGGGCTGTGGCCTGGACTCTGCGCGGCTGTTAAAGTCATAAGTAGGAAGTGCACCATGAAGTTGAGCACTGTACTGTTTTGGCTGCAGTCGCATGCTGTGTTTTGTTTGGTGCTATATTTGTCTCCGCTCTGTCAGCAGGTAGGTGGTCTGGAATCTGTCATGCTGCATTCTGACAGGAACTTGAAAAAGGAGACTGTGACTGAGTTTCTTTTTTTTGGTAGCCATGGAAACAACATCTTTGTGAAACACAGATTGAGCGGGATGCAAATATGTCAATACTTTTTGGTGCTTTCTTTGAATTTCAAACCCTATTCATTTCCATTTTGTCTTTGCACAGTAAGGAACCAGAGGAACCAGAACTCAACAGCCACCAGTCTGCAGTTGTCAAGACCATGATCAAAGGACCAGTTGCAATCCAGGGTAAGCAGAGTGTGTGTGTACCACTTCTGATAGAAGCTCATCTCTGATGGGGTTTCTTTCCCTTCAATTCCTTCCCAGATTCAAAGCGATCGCCGGTTATGACACCTCAAATATTTCCACTGTTTAAAGTACGATTCAAGGATTGACTAATACATTGACTAATACACATTTTTGTTCGTCAAGCCAATTACTGCATGAAATCTATCGAATGGTACATTATTGTCAAAAATCTGTTGCAAATTCAACAAAAATATGACTGTTTGAGGAGTTTAGAAATTCATTCTAAGTTTGTATTTTGATGTATTTACGTATCCCACCTACAGGTTAAACAAACATCGTGGCATATAGTCTAAAAATGATTTACTGCAGTATGATTAAATGTTGTTGCGGCCAGTTAGCAAGGGAAAGTGACTTATTTTCCACGCTTGAAGCGTGACATATGTTGTGAACCTGGTCATTGCAGACTTTCTTTTTCTTTTCTAGTCTTTTTCCTCTGTGGAAGCCCATTAGGCCCCTGTGGCGCCTTGCTCAGACACACGTGTAGCAGTTCTACTCCGTTAGAAAGATAATATTTACTGAAGGGTCCTGTCGGGAGTTAGGAATAAAGTTTTTTGAAGGCAAGCCACAGAGCTGCAGTATAATGGCCCTACTCCATCTTCACTCAGCCCACAGATTCAGAGATTGAATATCTTTTCTGGACATTCTTGTGCTTATCGTGTATATATCAAAATATACATTGCGATTTTTTGGGTATTCATGAATTTAGCCCAATATGCTTCGACTTTTACCCCATCCAGACTCAAGTCAGGCAGAGGTCAGTTCTGTAACTGTCACTCAACAAATATAACCACTTGGCCATGGACCCGGCTCATTAAAACATGCTACTAGCCGTATAGCGCCCTACAAGCAGTACTGATGCATTTTTCATCCATAGCTGCATATGAAGGTATTTTTGGGCCTTTATTACCCAAACAAAAGCTTTTGAGAGCAGATTTCTTGCACTGCAATCGGACCCTCAGAACCTTGTTGCAAATGACTTTTGTAAAATACTGTATATTGTCATGGTGGAAAAATCACACACAGAGTTTTGCAGTTTTAGTGACGAAGATACAAATAATCATCACCTGATTCTGAATCTGCTGGTTAACAGTCCAGGTGAAAAATAATACTTCACCAAACATTGTAAACATGAGTTTATAGTCTCTAAAGCTTGATTTGAATGTTCTTCAGTACATCATGATCTGATTTGGGTAAACAATGGTTCAGTTTATAGTAAAACACAGGACAGGTTATAAACTTCCAGTGTTGGCTACCTTGTGATTGACAGGCTGCTACGATGGCGTTGTCCTGTCCGGGACTTTCCTTTTCTCCATCTGATAACTTTAACGCTGTCGCCGTGGGTTTTTAGTCCACGGAAGTCATTGTAAGATTTTTGTCCCCCTCAAAAAATCTTTGTGCCTTACATCCACACTTTTGCACAAAATGCCGAACAAAAGGTTCCCCTTCTTGTACACAGCCTATGGGTTTAACCTAAAATGAATTCCTTACATAACGTAATTGCGGCTCCATTCCTAGAACACACACCTAAACATGGCACGTTATGGAAGAGCCAAGCTCTAAAAGTAGCCCTTGCCTCCGCCGTTTGGAGATCAAGGGCCAAGCTACATGTTTAGCCAGGTGTGGTTGTGGGTTTAAGCTCAGGGAACATGTTGGTAGTCTACTTGTGTGTGTCTGTCATACTATGCCATGGGAATGTGTCAACGGTGAGGTAAACGATTCGAGGACGATTGATGGGGTGAATTCCTGGTTTTGACACCAGTAGTCAGCCAGCTGCACGCATCGCCATGACACCTGCTGGGTGTATAGACAAAGAGGGTAGAGGTCAAATAACTTACACACCTTGGAGGAAAACACAAACGCACACATGCACACACATCCTTTGTGATGATGAGTGTTCCCTATTTTGGGGTTTTCTATTTGCTTCTCCTTCCCGTTACCTTCTGTTCCTGCTTGTTTTGTATCCAATAGAACCTTTTTCCCTTCTCTCATCCTCTTCAGGTCACGGTCCGCGGACTGGTTTGATTACCCCATCTTTTGGTATGAAGGGTAATGGAAGTGCCGTTGTCCCGAGATGTCCCGCCCCATCCAGACCAGTACCTCAGCCCCACCCAAAAGACGAGGACACCCTGGTCCAGATGGCTGAACACATCCCTGCTGGGACTCGGACCCCTATGTGTGGCCACTGCAACATGGTGATCAGGTGAGGGACAGACGCCGTGGCCAATATGGCGATGTATCAACTTACACACTTCGGGACCTATGATGGGACTACGGATTGTTAACAAGTGAACTCTATGAACTTATACGGATAATTGCATGAGCATTATTCTTGTCAGCAATCTTCAGAAAGAATATCAGGAATAAAGACTCTATGACCTCGCCCATCGGGATGGAATGATTCGGTCCCCCATGTTAAAGCTTTAAGGGAAAACAATTGACATGCATGGTGGTGGTTCTATCAGGCTCATTGCTGCCTGCACAATAATATAATGAAACAACAGGCCGTGTCTTCTAATTGTCCCAGTTCGGCACTTAAAATAATGAAATGTAACGCATCTTGCGTATATGATAGAGATAGAGATAGATAGATACTTTATTGATCCCTCAAGAGGGACATTTTGGTATCACAGCAGCATGTACAGAGAAGAAAATAGAATAAAAAGATACACATTATATACAATATAATAAGATAGAAATATTAAATTATTAAATTAAATATTAAAAATTAAATCTGTGTATGAAACTGTAGAGCTACAAAGATCTGACCTTAGAGTAGATAAGTTAAAGGGGTGCTACGTTGCACCTGCAGTGGATCCAACTGTGGGGATTTACAGCGTAGACACTGAAGGCAAAACACGCACACTCAATTGCTATATAGACTATGTTTGTTGTTTCCCTCTTGTTTAAATCCACCAAAGGAATTGCATACAAGCTCATACATCACTTCTTCATCCTTCTTCCTGACAAGTTCCCTTCTTCTCCTAATTGACCGCCCTGAGCCAAGTGTTATCTAACTTGGGTCACTTGACATGTCACATCACTAAGGATAATGGGCTGCTCACATGCTAGTACTATCTGAGAAAGCTCAGATAAGCGCAGCTAAGCTATTGTGTGGAGTAAATTAGTGTCTGTTGTTTTCCCACTTTACCCAATCATCAAGTGGACAGTGCCAAGGTGCTGTCGGAGGGGACGCAGAGGCAGATTAATGTCTAAACATGTTATATTTTTAAAATGTGTTCCTTATGTCTGAAGTGACCTTAATGGAATACAGAAACAATCAGTTGATCAAACAATTTAGATGCTAATCATAATGTTCAGGATACACATCTTGTTCAATAACATTACCCTTTAATGGGAAAAACCGTGAAGCAGAAACATGCTGAATTTCAATGAGACACTTTACAGAATTTGGTTCCACATCCATTCATTTTTTAAACTTACCGTTTAACCATTTGCCTTCTAGTGGCTGTTTGAGGACGTGGCAATGAAAACCCAGCACACTAACTACACAACCGGGCAGCATAACTACTGCTAAGTAGTAGTTTACTTTCACTATGTACTTGCATTCATGACAAAGTACCATCGTAATGAAAGTAATTCTAACAAACAGTCATGTGTTCATTTTTTCCAGTACAGTTATTTGATAACTTCAGTTGAAAATCTAAATCTAAAAGTTGACTAACACTCTTCGTGTTGTCCCCCCCCCTCTCCCCTCCAGAGGACCCTTTTTAGTAGCAATGGGGAAATCGTGGCACAAGGAGGAATTTAACTGTGCCCACTGCCGTGTATCCCTGGCAGATACAGGCTTTGTGGAAGAACAAGGATCTGTCTACTGTGAACACTGCTATGAAGATTTCTTGGCCCCGACATGCAGCCGCTGCCAGTCCAAAGTACTGGGGGTGAGTTGGTGTGAAGCTAAGCAGAGCAGCAGTGTGTGTCGGTGTGTGTGTGTGTGTGCGTGTGTATTTGTGCAGAGGTAAAGGCTTGTTGCACTCATCAGAGATAACCGAGATGACAACAAGACCCTGGTATTTGAGTGCGAGGAAAGAAAGCATGGAGAATGTGTCGGAAGACTTTGAGGCGGGATCATCCACAGTACAGCTGATCTTTGCATCGCGTGTGCGGCTGTTTCAAACTCAACCACCTGTTTTTTAGACCGAAAGTGATAATCCTCCTGGAACACAGGGCAAACCTATAACACAGACCTTTGTTATTTTAGTTTTTTTTGTGCTTCAAGTCAAGCCAAGTCCAATTCTTAGTCTTCACCGCTCTGTAGTTTTCCCATTATGGGCCTGTTGCATGTGGAGCGCTTCGAAATGGATGCATAACATTTGATAGCCTACGCGACTACATGAAGCAACTCACACGTCAAAGATGTTTCAGTTATTAATGCTAATTATTTTCAGCTGACATTCTACTTCTCAGGGGGAGTTTGAATAGAGGTTGATCCAACATTTAATCTGAGACACGTGTGAGGCTTTATAACTATGGAATCCTTCGTACCTTCTTCTGACTTTTTACTTCACTGCATTAAAGCCCTATTTTATATCACTTTAAGACCACTTAATGAAGATACATTAAATGCATTGGGGTAGATATTCAAATGCTCATATGTCCAACCTCAAACCTGCAGGATAAAAGCTTAGATGGTCCAAAGTAGAAAGGCCACGGGACATTTGTGTAGTGACCACCAATGAAGCTGAGGAATGTGGTGTATGTTCTGGTGTTGTGAGAATCGGGCTTAGAGGCCTCAAGGCTGCAGGTGTAGCTTGAACCCCGAGTGTCACGAAGCTAAAATCTCTGCTCTCATAACGGATGTGACATTCATCCCTCACACGTTCTAACCTCTTTAGCCTCTATCCCTTTCAACCCTCCATTTCTCACACATCTTCAACCAGCTTACAGCTTCTTATTAACCGGTTTTCTCACTCCCTCTCCTCTAATCCTTCATTTCGGCCCACCAACTTTCCAATTATTTCCTGTCCCGTTCTCACAGTTAACATTGGGAAAGATCTAATTTCCTTGTTGGATCACACAAAAAAACAGTGCTCCTAATGAACTGCATCAGGCAGCCAACTGACCACCGTTTGCTTGTTGCTCCCAGGAGGTGATAAATGCCCTCAAACAGACGTGGCACGTCTACTGCTTTCTGTGCGCTTGCTGTCAGCAGCCAATCAGAAACAACACCTTCCACCTGGAGGACGGAGAACCATATTGTGAACAAGGTGAGTGATGACAACTACAGGCTGATTGGACACATTGATCTTTCTGAGGAGGCTGGATTGAAAGACACATGTAGCTCTCTGTTTTATTTTGCCGCCAACAATAAGGGAAGTATTGTTGTTTTGTACCCGGAAGTGTATTGAATGGCATGTTGCTTTGTCTGTGAACAGACTTCTACAGTCTGTTTGGGACCAGCTGCCGTGGCTGTGAGTTCCCCATCGAGGCTGGAGACAAGTTCCTGGAGGCCCTCGGTTACACCTGGCACGACACCTGCTTCGTCTGCACCGTAAGTGAAGGACTGCAGCATTCACAGTGAAGTTAATTGAGGGACGGCAGAGTCCGAGTCCCTAACAGTGATTTGATAAATGTGCATTCTGGAATTTCATTCATCATTATTTATAAGGAGATCTTTTTCTGGACAACTTTACTTATTTAAAGTTTACTTCACTTCACTTCAACTTTCTGCGTGTGTTTGTGAATATATTTTTTCCTCAGTTGTGCTGCACCACGCTCGAGGGACAGACCTTCTTCTCCAAGAAAGATAAACCTCTTTGCAAGAAACATGCTCACTCACTGAAGATATGATCTCGGACTTTCATCACAACTTTCTTGCCTTACTTAGTCCCTCAGCGGGGTGGGAAGACCTCTCTATTGTTCTTGCAACAGTAAAACTCAAGCAATAATCCTACAAGCATATAGGTCAGAATAGTGAAGCATTTTCCTTTATGCAAAAGTAAACCTTTTTTTGTCTCTGGAGCGAGACCCATGTAAAGCCAGTACTCCCGTAAGGTGATTTCTACTATTAACAGCAACTAGAAAATCTGGGTTTTGACCAAATTTCACCACAAATATGGATTTGAATCTGTATGTTTTTGATTCATGCATTCAATAATAGAATAGTTTTACTGCCAAATGGAGATGCTCAATAAACGCAGACATTTTGTGATTAAAATATTTTACTTCATCCCAATCTTGATTTCTTAATCCAGTTCCCTCTGTAGTTTCTCAGAGAAACAGAAGTGAGATCATCACATTTATAATTCAGCCTACATACATGCTCCAAGTAGCCTGCTAAATAACAACGCCTGAAAGTCGACAAATATGTGAGGAATTATACAAAACTTTGAGAAAAGAGGATGTTGGGCAATTATTTGCTGACAGATTACATTACATGCTATTTAGCTGACGCTTTTATCCAAAGTGACTTACATTGCATTTTTAACCCATGGCTCTTTACATTCTTGACCAGGGAGCAATCAGGGGTCAGGTGCCTTGCTCAGGGACACATGGGACATGGAGCAGCCGGGGCTCAAACACTAACCTTGCGGTTCCCAGTGCTCCCTCTCTACCCCTGTTCCACCGCCAACCCAGATGTTTATTTGTGGTACTTTTTATCTTTGTGTACATTTAATTATTATTAATCTGATCGACAGCTATTAAAACAAGAAAATATCAGCCTTTCAATTTCCTGAGTCAAATGTTTGTTTTAAATAAAGGTGAGCTGGATGTACAAGTTGATGGTAAAACCTTTTACTTGTGATCAGTGCTTGGAATTATTATGATTTTCTGTATTTTTTAAATTAATTTTGTTTTCTTTTTATTGTTGTGTTAAACTTCAAATATTGATAATTTGTCATGAGTTTCAAAATAATAAGTCACATTTAATCATATACAACATTGAAGAACTTTGTCTCTTTATTCCATCGAGGACTGAACTTTCCCAAATTTGCATTATCATACATAACAAATGGATCAATATTTAACAAAATATAAAACCTGTGTTATGTTTCTATTTCCTTACTATTATTGACTGACATATCTTGAAATTTCATAGTAATTGCAGAATGTGTTAAATACATACAAATAATAGAGTGCCATAGTTAAATGAATCATATGCATATTTTATTTATTTGTCTTACTTTATTAAAAATTGCTTCAATGGTCGATTCGTTCCTCCGTCTGCTTCATAAAAGTGAGTAGCTCTTTCTGTTGTGGTCTTCAGGTAATATGTAATCAGTGTATTTTTTTATGTAATAGAAATGGAAACATCTTGACTGACAATATATGTCTACCTGTTTGAGTAACCAGGCTTTTCCTTTTCAGGGAATGCGTTGTGCAGTAAATATCCATTTTGAGTATCAACGTGTTGACTAGAGATACTTACTTTTTATTATGGTTGAGGGGAACACATCTTTGTCTTTTGTGTTTAGTTTTCAAACAACACAGAAAATGGCAACATAACTCACTGGGTTATTACGGTATAAGAAAAAAGGAGGCAAGTACAGTGTGTACTAATAATCAAACATGCAGGGGGGGCTTAATGTCACCTAAAAAGCTGTTAAATTTGATCTGATTTGTTTAATAAATACTACTTGTCTGAACCCCCAAAATAAATATCCTGTGTGGCCTTATGTTTGCTTTCTTCTCAGTCAGTTTAGTACTATTTTTACTGACTAAACTTACTGCATTGATTAAAAAAAACACTTCATGAATATCTCCTTTCCCATTGCCTTAATCTCTATTTTGTTATCACATCTCCATGGACCACCATCTGCTGAAACTATTTAAAATGTATTCTGTTATTATGGGCTTTCAAATTTTTTATTTGTTAGAAAGTGGGCGGGGCTAAATGGAAAGAGAGATGGGGTTATGAGTAAATTTCTGCAGGAAAATAACTTCAGGCCTGCAAACGCATGGCTGAGATATTTGGAGGTGATTTGACAAGATGCTTTGCAGATCGGTTGGATTTCCAGGTCACCTCTTCCCTCAGAGCCACTTCTATGATTTTTGACAGTTATTCCGTCAACCGTCTGGACAACCCATCGTGCTATTGTTTTCAAGGGTATTATAGAAAACATTATTGCTGGTTAGATAGGGCTTCTTTAATAGAGAAAATTGTTTAAGATGATAAAGCCTCAGAAAAAAACGTGCCCCGTGTGAGGCTCGAACTCACGACCTTCAGATTATGAGACTGACGCGCTGCCTACTGCGCCAACGAGGCTCTACGTAACACCCGCGCGATTTGAAAATAAAATACCTTTTTCGTCTCTCTCTCTCTCTCTCTCTCTCTCTCTCTCTCTCTCTCTCTCTCTCTCTCTCTCTCTCTCTCTCTCTCTCTCTCTCTCTGTCGTGAAGAGGCACCGATCCGTCCGCAGCATTTCGAGTGCTGCAATCTCATCTCCATCAAACGAAGGGAGGAGGCAGAAGGTGAGTTAGCACTTCTAGTAAAAGCGGCAAACTCTTTACGCGGTATCATTTTTCCTATGTTTGTTTTTAATCGCGACTGTTTGCAAACACCTTCGGAAGCTTTTTTCCGTCGTTATTCTGGTTCGCGTGTAGAAAAGTTTCAGTGATATTGATTTTGAATAATCCGCATATCAGCATCATGTGTCCCGTTCGCGCTACGCTACCTTTCCCCGCGGTGAGCATGCATTACTGAACGTCACATGCGGCGTGTTTAAGGCTGTGAATGTATGTACTTGATCAATTTGTCGTCCATGTGTATTCATATAGTACTAAAGGTAGTGCTTATATCTGTTCAAGCTATTTTAAGAAACAACATGAAGAGTAGTAACTTTTGTTTTATAGTTTCGTGGTAATACGTACAAAAAACCCACATCACAGCTGGATGGACCTATATAGTTGTGACAGTAAATAAGTGCATTACAGACCTTGATGTTTGGAAAACTTAAAATCCACTAACTTTCAGTCAATTTAGAGTCCAACAGTCACGTGACTTAAGTTCTGTCTGTCAAGGTTTCTTTCTTATTGGGGAGATTTGGCGTTTCATATTGTAGTAGCGAAGACTCTCCCTTTCATTCTCGAGACCTGGTCAAGTGAGCCCCCCCTTCTTCAAGAGCTCAAGAAAGCAGAAAAAAAATAAACCCAGACACAGCCTCCAGCGCAGCATGACCTACAACCCGGTATTCCCCATACACCCCGTTTATACACACACACACACACACACACACACACACACACACACACAAGCCAACGCTCCCTCCAGTAACCAGGTCCAGGTGTTTGTCAGTGTGGGTTATGACAATAGTAAATCTGCATGTGTGTGTGTGTGTACGTGTGCACATGAGCAAGCATGTGTGAATGTAGATCCAGATGGACGCCGTGGCTCCAAATCTTACCTCACCTCATCTGAAGGGGGTCCGGGGGGGCGGCGGCGGCAGCACCGGGGAACCACGCAGGAAAACTCCCAGCGAACTATACGAATGAGAGGAGCAGACGTCCAGACGTGTGCGCGCTGGCGTGTGTTCATACTGTATTCTGGGTTTGTCGATCTAATAAGTATGAGGGGTTGTTTGGGCCTCACGAGGTACAGCGCTCTCATTTAGGTCAGCGACACATCACGCAAATCTGAGAAACGGCTTCATTCTCCACCGGCTGTGTAATTGAGTTTCACATAGCAGCTGGAAACAGAACCTTTCGCTCATTTTCTGTTGCTATTATTTGTGTGTGAGAGAGAGGGAATCAGAGTGAGCGGTTCAGACTGTGAAGAGCTTCAGACACGTCGCGACGACAGACAAGGTGCCTGAGTCTTGGTGCTGGAATCCCAGATAACGTTGACGGTGCTTAATCTACGTGCCAAGAATAGCAAAATTTGTCAAAATAGAGTAAACTTGTGTCTGATGATGAGTGGCTTGGGGATACAGTTAAAGGGTGGATAGCAATGCACGAGGGCCCTATGGAGCAATATTCACTCTCACGAGGTCTGATGGATTTATTCAAATCCAAATGAAAAAAATGCATTTTTCACATACAAACATATTAAAATAATCTGTAGACCAATTATGAAGCCCCCAAAAAGTTGACTTTTCAAGTTTGCACAACAATGACCACAATTGTTCCAAGATTTCCCGAAATGTGTCGGGTTGTTGACGTTTCCCAGCTGATCCTGCGATGGTTGCGTAGAGAGAGACCCTTACTTTGTAAATGGTGACCCGCCTTAAGCAGGTGAATCTGATCACAGTCCCTGCATTGTTTCTGTGGAGGTAAAACTAAATCTAAAGAAGAGCGTTGATCATCAACGAGACCCCAGGGCCGACATTAAGGAGCGTAACAGCCATGTGAACCCGGGGGCTGCTTGTCGTGCCTCGCTAATATCCAATTTCCCCAACTCAGCGATGGATAACAATCAAAAACAGAGCCTGAGGCCTTCGGCTCAAAGATCCATCTATCCTTTTTAATTACAGTGTCAATTTGATTTGTATGAACGTTTCAGCATTTAACTTCACCGGAGTCATGGAGCACCGGGTGTTTTCGAAAGGTTTCCACGGGTCTTGAACATTATTAAAAGCTTAAAGAGGAGGCAATAAATAATGAAGACGGCATGCAGTATTGAGTAAAATAAAACTGCCGTAGGCCGCCATCAGTGCAGTAAAGACACGAGCTGTCTCTCGCAAACGGATCCTGATACATTTGTTCAGATTTATTAAAGTTTATTATTATTATTTTCTGAAGGTGATACCTCCTCCTAAGTTCTCGGTGCTGTAAGGTACACGGTGTTTGATAAAACGCTCGCTCGGCGGTCTGAAAAAGCCCAAGCATGTTTTCTCGCCTATAGAAATCCAATGAATGGGGACACATGTTCATCCTACGTGCATTTCTAATGGAAAATTACCAAATTTTCTTCAAGAAAGTAGAATCAAATGTGTGCGTCCACGTATGTGTGACATATTTGTCTCCACACACATGGATCCCATCCGGTCTCCACGGTTATCCTCCTGGTGAGTTAAACGTTTGATCTTTCCCTCTTTAGATGGAAACTGCCATCCCTGCGTTTGACACGTTCAAAGCTTGAAGACCATTTTGAACTGAGCATCGCACAGTTTACTCCTGGGATTTACTCAGCAAACAAACAGCTACACAAACACATGCTTTCCTGCAACAGCATCCGTGTTGCTGACGTACTGTGACGCTCTGCTGCGGCCGCACGCAGATCGGACCCTTTTTTTTTTATTCGCTCGCCGCAGCAGCTAGAATTCAATATAATCAATGCAACTGTGCACACTGGCTATTTGCAATATTTATTTGTCCTTTCAAAGTCTTAAGCGGGCGGTTGAATTGCATTTGGCCCTGTTCACACTGCAGTACTAGTTCGTCAGTCTACTACCATCTATTGTATGGTGCATTTCTTTAGATACTCCTGTGTGTAAAAAAAAAAGGTGCTTATTAGTGGAGGACGTGAGTTGCAGAGACGAGATGTGATCTCACAGGAAATGCTGCTACCGGCTTGACGTCTCTGTTGTTAGATGAATGATGATGAAGACACTGATATGGCCGGTATGCAGAAGGAGATAAACCAAAGACGCTCTCACAGCAGCAGTCGTGTGCATGTGTGAATGTTCTCTGTCTTGTAAGATAATGACGTGAAGATCTCAGGGGTTTTTAAATTCAGGTGCATAATGCGGATGAAGATGTGACTTTACGTGCACGTCCCTGCTCAGTCTCATTATCCTAATCTTCATCTCCATTACTCCCCTGTTCCCCCTCAGGGCGGACATTCACGATGGAGTTATTCTATCCTGGTGCTCTGTAATTCTCACAGGGCACACAGTTCAGCCACTCCTCCCCCCCCCCGGTCTTCCCCTCTTCTTTTCTTTTGAATGACGCGAAAACGACGCAGCGTCACCGCTTTTAGAAACAGCACGAGGAAACCTTACAGCCGCTTACCTGCTAATTTGGGATGGATCCGGGAGAAAACAGTTGCTGTGACAAAACCTTCTGGCTAAACTGAGGCACGGCAAAGGTTAATTGCATGAAAGAGGTTTAAATTATGATTTATTAGCTTGGCGAATAGCCCACAGAATCTGTTAAGGCGTGTGTCCCACAGGACGGATGTTGAATCATACGACCAGCCAGCTTGTGATCTCATGATTCTTGTTATTTTTTTTCCTCACTCCTCTATAATTCACACAGGTTGCCCAACACAGACCCTCCTCTTTAGGTTCTTTCCTCTTTGTTCTGCACCCGGTATGCACGTGCAAGGTAATTCACGCTAATCTCTCATCACCTTTTGTCGTTTGTTTCATCCCTTTTATTCCATATATGACTTTGTACATTTCAGTGACGTGTGTGTTGTTGATAAGAACATCCCTGATCACACCAGCATGAACAGGTTGAGCCCCGAAGGCGCTTTAACTCGCACAGGGTTTCGCTTTGAACTGTGAGGCTGCTCTGTATCTGGCAGACCACAGCTCTGTCTCCTTGTGTTTGGTTTGGCTCATTCCGACCTAAAGTAATCACCAGGCCTGCAGTTCACCCAGGGGAGAGACAGGGAGAGACAGGGAGAGAGAGAGAGAGAGAGAAATGATGGAGCGATGAGTGGGGGGACTAAAGAAAAGTAGATATCCATCTGGATCCACTTTTGTACAATTTCATCT